TGCCACCTATGTGGGGCACTGTCTTGACTCAGAACAAAGTCCCTCCAAGTGTACCCTACTCTCTTTCCATGACCGTGTCTCTGGTCTGAGATAGATGTTTATGACCTGCCAATAAATGCAGTGATTCAAAGTCCAGGGCCCACACTCCTCATTCACACAGCCATGTTTAGGGAGGCTCCAGGGAGAAAAGCACAGCTTGACATCAGTTCATGAAGAGCCTCTCCATGGCTCCTGCATCTGAGACAGCCGGCCTGCCCTCCAAATCATCCGTCCACCCCTGCTGTCATCTGTTTTCACGGCGTGAGATCAACCCACAGGAATAACCATGGCTTTCGTGCTCATTTTGGTTCTCAGTTTCTACAAGCTGGTGTCAGGTAAGTCTTTCCGTTTAGATGTTGTTTGTCTCCTTGTTGAATAATATTTTGAGTTCATTCATGACAATGATCTCAGCACAGCGAGATGCAGGAATCTTTGGTGCTTGCATTCTCCAGCTTCCCCTCGCCCTAGGCTGGCAACTACCAATGCCAGGAGCTGTGGGAAGCACAGGGCAGCAGGAATTCAGAAGCAGACCCCGTGGGCTGTTTCTCAAGGACATGGGCACTGTGTGCACTACTATAGCAGCCCAGAATAATGGGAGCAGCCCTGGGAGTGGGGAGGGAACACACTGAGAATGCTAAGGTAAATACATTGTTTTCCCCAGTGGGCTGTGGGGCATAGGCAGGGGAGGTCTCTAATAAAATCCCCAGGTTTTTGACTTGGGTGTCTGGGTGGAAGGTGACACTGTTTAAGATGTTTGGAGAAAAGACAATGTGTCCAGTTATGTACATGCTGAGTTAGAAACACCTGTGAATATGGGGTAAAGCACCAGACCTTTAAGTGAGGAATAAGTTGGAACCTGGCATATTCTAGGCAGAAATCCACTCTTCTTTCTCCTTCTAGTAACCATCAACACAAAGCCTGGTGTATAGGGTTTTCAGTAATCCAATTAATTTTGCAGGGAGAGATAGGGACTGGAGTAGAACCCTGGATGCTGGGTGGTCAGTGTCAAGCCATGAAAAGTTCATTTGACTGTGTTCACTCTCTGTCTGAAACAGTTCCATCCTGCTATTTGTCTACCTATGACTGTTTTGCTAAACAAAGCCAAGAAAACAGAAATAAGGGCATCAAAATCCATGTGTGTTGGCCAGGCGCAGTGGCTTACACCTGTAATCCCAGCACTTTGGGAGGCTGAGGTGGGTGGATCGCTTGAGGTCAGGAGTTTGAGACTAGCCTGGCCAACATGGTGAAAATCTGTCTCTACTGAAAATACAAAAATTAGCTGGGTGCGGTGGCGGGCACCTGTAATCCTAGCTACTCGGGAGGCTGAGGCAGGAGAATTGCTTAAACCCGGGAGGTGGAGGCTGCAGTGAGCCGAGATCGTGCTGCTGCACTCCAGCCTGGGTGACAGAGTGAGACTTTGTCTCAAAGAAACAAAAACAAAAAACCACAATCCATGTGTGTTACTCACAAGAGAGCCTCCATTTAAGTACATTCTCAGCCATTTTCTGACGAGCTTTTCTGTCTGCTTTCTGTTTCTGCATGAGGCAGCAAGGCATCCTGGAAATGACCTTGGAGGAAGTAAGACTATTTTAAAAACTTTCCTTTTCTCTGCCTATGAGCTTGTGGCTAATAACTTCTATTAGTGTCAGTTTTTGCTTATGATGAAATAGAGGTAATAATATCACATCCATGACATCCTGTGGCTGAAGGGCTACTGTGTGGACTGCATGGACTTCTGCATGTAGAGCATGCAGCACAGAGCTCCACTGGTGCACAGTGTGTTGCAACCACAGACAGTGTTATTCCTTGCTTCTCCCCAGGGGAAGGAGTAAAGGGAGACGCTGTCAGCAAGAAAAATGACAGCAGCAAGGCCGGCCGGAGAAATAGACATGTCCTAAAAACTGTTTGCCCAGCTTGAGAGTCTCACGCAGCCTTGAGGGCAGCACTCACAGCAGCCCAGCTGACAGGTTGGTTCCCCAAAACTGATCTAGAGCAACGGCCTTTCTGCAGATGGTTTGTTTAGCAGATCATTCTCAGAAACAAAAGTGACAAGGTGCAAAGAGTGAAGCCAGTGGGAGGAAAGCCATAGAGGGTGCACTAATGAGCAGCTTGCAGTGGTGGCAACTGGGACCCAGTCCCACTGTGTCCTTTGGAGGAACCATACAGATGACGGCCCAGGATCTTCCCAACATCCACTGCTTCCTGTTCCCCACTGGGTGAGATGTGCCCCCCGGGACTATTAAAATCGCAAACCTTCTTGGCTGCCCTGTGCCTGGGCTGAGTAAGTTCCAAAGGTTGCAAGAAGCCATCAGCAGAGAGGCAGAGGCCAGGCTCCAGGGGCGGAGCTGTCAGCAGGCAGGGAAATGCCCATCCCACTGCAGGGTTGGGGGGTGAGGAGCAGGGCCTCAACATCTGCTACACCAGGTCAGCAGCTGGTCAGACATCAGGCGGCAAAATCACACCTCATTTAATAATACTCTTAAAGATGCACAAGTGAAATACATTTCAGCAAGATTTATAAAATGTAATTAAAACTTAGACATAATTAGTGCTAAAATTAAAAACATCCACTTATCTGGAAATTAACACATGGGATCCACTTTGCCTCTGATGCACATGCAGACAGCACACACAGGTAGATCCATATACCATAAATGGATACATGTGAATGAATCAAGGGACACTGCCAGTCAAAGGGGTGGGTACTTGGAAGGTGAAGGGAGTGGGCCTCCATCATTTGTGATCTCTCTAAGAAGAACTCTAATCATACAGAGTTGTAAGTGTGATTTACACCAGGAAAATTACTTAGTTGACCGCAAAACCGAGAAGCAAATGCACAAAGAAAGTAGCACTCACCATTCACGAGCATAATCCCTGTCTGCGGAGCCCATTCTCTGTGCTGGGCATGGGGAATCCTGTGCAGAGGAAAACACACACGCTCTGTCCTCGTGAAGCTGAGAGTTGTGCAGGGAAGACTTGCAGAAAACAAACAATTATGTCACTTACAGCAAGAAGAAGACAGTTTCAAGTGAGGATCAAGACAAAGCTGTACCAAGAATATACAAACAAACAAACAAACAAAAAACCAGGTAAGCCATGTTGATAAAGCACTAGAGTCGGGGTGTCCAATCTTTTGGCTTCCCTGGGCCATGTTGAAAGAAGAAGAACTAACACTAACGATAACTAATGAATGAAAAAATATCACAAAAAGTCTTATAACGTTTTAAGAAAGTTTACGAATTTGTATTGGACTATATTCAAAGCCGTCCTGAGCCTCATGCAGCCCACAGGCTGTGGCTTGGACAAGCTTTTGCTAGATGAAGTACTATTCAAGTACAAAATAATAAAGTGGAAAAACATAAAATTCTTACCTGGAGTAAAAGGTAGGTGTCATGGAAAAGATATGTCACAACGTGAGTGCACTAAAGAGCAAATCTCTGAAACAAAAACTACAAAATCTCCTCACTGTGTCATACCATGTCCTTCAGAACGTGGCAGAAGTCTACTTAAAAAAAGAAGCACAAATAAGTGTGCTTCAGCAGAGAATATGTATTTCTCTCTTGTATCCATA